GTATATTGTTTAACTTTACAAATTATCCATCAAATGGTCCACACCTTGCTTTGCTATTGTGTATTGTCGAACAGCTGTTTTCTAGATTTAAATAGTAGTTTATTTGACTGTTTCTTCTATCATAATTTCGCAATGTTAAACAATTAAACAAATTACTAACCTAACTACAACAATGCAACAATCGACAACTTTATAAATGAAACTAAATGAGTTTGTCATAAACAGCTGATGTACTTGACAACAGCTGATTTATTTTGCTCTAAAGATGCAAAGGACTTTAGCACCGCAACGCATCGATTAAAAACAGCCATTTTCACTGCAGCATGACGAAATAGTACATTTCATCACAAGAGCTTATGTGATCCTTTTCGAAACGATCTCAAGTTTAAGCGAAGCCGATGCTGGAAATGAGTGAGGGTTGAAAATACACATTTTGCCAGTGTGCGGAACAAAATTTTACGTCATACTGCGCCATTATGCTAACTAAATCACTAAACGATAATTAATTGTGTTATTGTGTATATTGTTAACCTTTACCAAGTACCTTCCAAAGTCGTTTCCTTCTTTTTCTGCTATTGTATACAAACAGATGTTTCTATTGTTGAGAAGCACGTATTACTCCACCTACAGCATACTAAATTAACATTTGAAAAGTTTGTCGGAATATCGAAAAAATGTGAATGTCGATATTATTGTATAGAAACATACAATGCGTCACTAATGAGCACAAAAATAATTTGACAACGACACAAAAGTATTTTTACCAATCAGAACAATTTTTATAATCATCGGACGAATTGTAAGTGGAAACTGTACCTTTTCTGGTTCAATGCTTTTAAACGGAGATTCTCTACAAGTTCAAGTACATATAGCACGACAACCACTAAACATACCATACCGATTTTTTGCACATTCAATTATCTTTATGTTTAACCACTTTTTAAAGAAATATATCAACATGAAAATTATTTTCAACCATTTAAAAAAATACAAATTTTTATGCGATATAAAAAAAATACTTTTTAATTAAAAATGTATTACTAATCAATATATGATTGGTTCAATGTACTCACCAAGTACCCAGACTAATGCATGCAAAATTTTAAGTCTCTGTATTACAGTTTTTAAACTATGTGTACCTAAAGGTAAAAAAACTTTCGGAAAAGCACACTTATAGCTTTGCAGCACACACTTAAATCCATAAAAATAGTGCGGCTGAAACCTCGGTAGAGTTAGCTTTGTTTATTTATTGTTATCATAAGAAGCTTTCCAATATTATAAGTATTATATATTTTCTTAATCAGGAAGAAACGTAGATTAATTTTAGATGAAAAACAATAATTGCATTTTTTTAGGCATAAAAGGTTGAGCATTATTGAGTTTTTGAGCATAAAAGGTAAAGTCAGAAAATGTATAGCTGATTCCCCAGCTGATTCTTTTTCACTCTAGAAATAAAAATAAACCACTTTTGTTCCATTGTATTGAAAATTGAATAAAGTTTATGATGTAATGTGACTAAAATACATTTTATTGCCAGTTTCCAAGCTAGGCTGTGAAATATGGAATCCCTTTCATAATTACACACTGCTAAATATCAAGTCCTACACTGGTAAGACTGTAGAGCAACAAAGAACAATGCATTGTTTGTTGCACCTTGCCTGTGACCAATCGGCGCGCGTTTTAATGCCGTCACAGCTGATTATTTAAATGTTTGCGCCGTTAGTGTCCAGCTGTTAATGTGTAATAACTACTTAATGTTTTAACCGAAGATTCTATGAAAACTATGTTTGTGGAATGGACCACAGCTAGACTAGTGATTAGAGAGACTTCGGTCTTGGGGGTGAAGGTTCGAATCCTGCCATTGACAAATTGATTTGTGATAATACCATGGAGGTTTGGATCTCACCTTAAGTAGTTACTATATTTATCAGGTGAAACCTTTCTTTGTCGATAAAACTCCCATAAAAACCACACGACTGCAAAAATAGCTTCAAAACATATGTTCTGTATGTTTTAAACTCTAGGGGATGTATGGGTTCAAATCCTGTCTTTCACCAATTACTTTCATAAATAATGCAATGACCTAATGGTTCAGAACCCAATTGAACCTGTGGTACTTTAAATTTAAAACGCGAAGTCCAATAAAACAGCTTTATTTTGCTAATTAATTAATTGCATTAAAACATATTTAAATGATAATTTTCAAAATTATAGTATAATATATTTTAAAATTGTATTAATGAGAAATACTTTACAAATTTGCATATAAAGTTATTGAAAACCATGGTGTAAAAACGTTGGACCTTTAAGAAACCCCTAAAATGTTACGTACAATAAATAAATAGCAATAAAATAATAATAACGGTTTATTAATAGTAATTCATATTTGCAGTTAGAACCAATTTCATCCATAGATATAAACTTACCAAAATTAAATATAAATAAAATATTTTATAAATATATATTATATAATTTAAAACACTACAATTTTATTAAAATTATTTTGACCGTGGTCACTCATTCACAATATAATTTACCCGTATGCCAACACACATAATTTTGATTTTGGATCTAGGAAAATGGGGAATACAGAAATTGATTCAGGATATACCTAGAAATATATATACGTGAGGTACGGGGACAATGAATAAGTCATACACAAGTTAACTATTGTACAAGTTTTACTATAAAAAGTGAACCCCCAAACCCTCTTACCTTTACCATACTATAGGATCGGGTTGGTTCCCAAACCCATTCAAATACGTGTCGATTAACACGTTTTATGCAAATTTAATGAAAACCAGAGCTTTTGTACAGTAATGGTTTTGAAATATATTTTACCAATATCTTCTCAAATGCAACTGTCAGAGATTAAAACCTATATCCAACATGAATGATCATTATACAGGGTGTTTCGAAACTGTCCCCCGAAATTCCGTGGGCATGATCTTTAAGTCGAAACAAACCAAAAATATCATATAAACATATGTCCTATCTCGCTTCGTTTTCAGTCTGTCAGTGTGTTTGTATTTTTGACGTAGCATCCCATTAATTTGAAACGACTTAAAGATCGAACTTCAGGGAATTTAAATGTTTCAAAACTTAATAACTCAAGAACCATATGATTTATAAAATACCCCCGCCGCAGCAAACCTGCCGTCTAAGCGAATTTCCATTTGGCCGAATTGATTTTCAATTGATCTATTTAAATAACATTAGGTTTAACGAGTACCTAGGTTTGCTGCTACAAGGAAACTAATAAAGTAGTGTGTTTTTAGTAAAATATTGATAGCTTACTATAAAATAAATAAATTGGCCAAGTTTGATCAAAATATATCCATAAACAAGCAAACTACAACATTTTACAATATTCTCCATAAGAATAACATGGGAATTTTAAATTTACAATTTTTTTAGTTTTCTCCGTAACCAATAACCGTACAAAAACACTTTGATATACTGAATTGTTTGTTTTTTTAAGCTCTTTAAGAAGGTTCAGAGAAAAATTGGGAAATTTTGTGTTTTGAGGGTAAAAAGTGAGAAAAACCAATTTTTACCCAATAAAACCCCCCATAAAACCCTGTTCCCATGGTCCGATCTAGCTGGATCGCGAACTCATTCAAGTTTATCCCGCCTTACACCTTCAAACCAAATTTCATCAAAATCGGATAAAAATTACTCAAGTTATCGTGTTCACGGACACATATATATATAAATCTATATATATATATACCTATATATATATATATATATACATATATAAAAATTTGAACGAATGGTGTTTTTGGCCTCTGGGGACATTAAAATGAAAAAGTAGATCGGTCCCGGGCCTAAGTCTTACCATGAGACCTACGGTAATAGCTACTTCCCTATAGGGAAATTCGCTAAAAGGTTGCAAAAAAACAAAAAGAATGGAAATGTAATTCCCTTTACAGTAATATACAATTTGTATAGGGTCATAACAAAAATAACGGGGAAATTTCATTTTCAAAATGGTAATACCTGCTAATTGATTGAATTTGCCTAAATCTTTTGCTTTAACTTCAGACAATTTAATTTTTCTCCCTTATTTGTGTTATGACCCTATACAAATCGTACATTTATATAAAAGGAATTAAATTTTCATCCTTTTTGCCACTTGTAACCTTTTTATGTATCATATGGTTTTTTAGTTATTGGAAAAATGAAAATTACCACCATTTTGAGATTATACAAAGTAGAAACTTGATGCTTTGGAATAGTTCCTATTAGTCATCATACACGTACCAAGCTTGAAGCTGGTACCTAAAGTAGTTCCAAAGTAATGGGAAGTCATGTAAAAAATACACACACAGTGACAGACGGAAAACGAAGCGAGATAGGGCATATGTTTATATGATATTTTTTGTTAGTTTTGACCTAAGGAACACGACAACGGAGTTTTGGGAAAGAGTTTCTAAACACCCTTATATTTTCGTACTGTATCAGGAGTCTGCTGCTAAGGTCTGGGTTAGAATCCTGCTAATTACCAATCCTAATTTACCATATGGCAATACCGTAAACCAATGATTTATATCCCTCCAACCTAAAGGAAAAAAATGTGTTAGGAAAGATCTGTCTCTTTATAGGAGATCTCTCTCCATGAAAGATCTATATTTTTACCCATTAATAATTTAAAGCAAATATTAGTTCAGTTTTGCTCCATTACGTAAAATAATTAACCACATATGGGTACGTGTATTATTAATTTGGGTAGTTATATTGTTTGTTCAATAAATCACAACTAATCGTAAACTTAGTAACTATTTTTGATTGCTTAAGTGCCACAGCAACGACCTTTACACAATCATTAAAGAACTGCAATGGCAATGAATGACCTTTTCACAATCATTCGAGATAACTTTGATTTCATTAGTGTATTGCTGGTAAATTTCCTCATCAATGAAGGAGTTCCAACTCGTTGACAGTTGACGATAAAGTTGTCAATGGAATGACTAAGCACTGGTACTTCGTAGCGGTAGAGTAGTACGTACGCTGTGCTGCCAATTTACCGTCAACGCGCCGTGTGTTGTTAACTTAACTTTGATATGTTGCGAACGTTCAAACTTGGCGCGCCAGCTGTGAGGAGGAGGGGGAATGAATGAGATGTCTGCTAGCGCTCCCAGCGGCCTGCGCTGCAGTCGTGCGCGGCAACTTCTAGTGGCAGTGGTGGAGTGTTCATTTTATGTGGCGTATTTCGACCGTGTTCCTATCATAATTGTGTCCAAATGTGTGTGAATTTATGGCGGCGCGAGTGTTACTGCTCAGCGTTTGGTTTGCAGTAGTTCTGTTGACCGGAAGCAGCAAAGGTAAGTGACGATAATTATTTTAATAGTTCCTAGATTAATAAACACCATGTTAAGAAATGTGCTTTTCCACATTCAATCAATATGGCCGCGCGATTCTTATAGTTCTTCGAACGTTTGACGTTGTTTTTTTCCTAGTTTGCGCTTCGCCTGTGGTTTTGAAGATGGATTTTGAATTATAAATTCGAGAATAAGTATTTTGTAAGTCGGTTTTATCCATCCGGTCGTTCGTAAAGGCTGTCAGAGCCGAAACACGACACTTTAAAAGTTGAAGGTTTTGTTGACAGTTGACAATAATACGTCGCCACCTTGGCCTAGGTCTAACAATGTACATTGTTTTGTTTACGTTGTAACGTAGTGAACGAGTATAACCTATAATAGTTACGGTGGTCCACAGGGGTCGCTTCTGGGAGTAAAACTTTTGTTTTCGTACACGACTGCCGTGGAATGTGACAAGCCAAACAAAATAACAGGTCTACTTAGTCCTTGACCCTCGCTTATGAAAGTTTGAGAAAAGGAGCCTCGTTCCAACGAGCTCGTGATATTTCACTTCCCAATGAAATCGTTTATTGTTGGGAAGTAAGTGTTGTGTTTGTTTATTTGTTATATTTGACATTACAAACATAAAAACAACAATGTTAAGTTAGTCTTCTTTCCAATAAGCTAGATAGCTCATTTAGTTAGTTTAAAAGTAGTTTTTAACATAATTATAGCATTCATTAAAACTCATTAAGTTATTGGAACGAATTAACGTTTTCTTTAATAGCCTATTAAATACCGGTAGTCTTATTTATGTTAAATGAACATTAAAATAGTTATTCACCCATTTAAACAGGTAATCAAAGTTAGTTGACAAGTTTTTGTAACTTCAACTTACAGTAGTTATTGATCATAATAATGACAGTAGGGTCATGCTTATCACTTAGTCGTTAGTTAGTTGTACACATGCTTGCTTAACTTAGTCATGTTTGCTAAGCTCAAAGATAACAGCTTATTTTCAGTTGTGATGAAGTTTAACTAAAGTCTACCAACATAATATACCTTAAAACTAAATAATGAATTGTCAGTAAGTAATCTTGGTAGGATCTTTACTTACTTAATTAATTTATTTAATCCAGCCACAGAGTATGCCTATATTCAAATTCAATTAAATTGTAACTAAGAATCTCTCTGTTTTACTTCACTGTGTTCTATGTATAAACTATGTAGTCTGTATGTAGTTTACAAAAACCCTATAGGCTACTTAAATCACAAATAATAATAAACATAAATTTCTTTAGTAAAGAAGGATTACATTAGAATGTGAAAGCGTTACAAAACTAGGAGTGTAGGTTGAATTCAACTAAACTTTTCCTTATGTACCTTAAATTACAAGGCTTATTGCTTACAACGTTAGGCCTAATGACACAGTAGGATAAAATTATATATTATTTAGGCTAGTCCATAGTTTTTACAGGGTCTGCCTGGAGTTTTAGTTAGTGGTGGTAAATATCGTTCGTGAATCACCATAAAAGCTTTGGGCTTGTTTAGGACCTTGAAATAAATAACCACAATAGTTTGTCTTTAATATACCGTAGTTGTAGATTTGGTGAAACCTCAATAACAAGTCACCCTTGATAACAATATGTAATTTTCAAACTAAACCCTTTCTTGTTACTGAAAACCTCGATAAGAAGTCTACCTTGATAGCAAGTCTTTTGACAATCCCCGCTAGTTACTTGTTATTGAGGTTATGTAATTATGGTTTTTATTGATAGTATGCACTTTTATCGATTACAGCAGTTATTAACTTTTAAGCTTAACAGATTTTATGGTACCAAAACCGGAAGTAAATGTAACTTAAAGTATTTCTTAAACACCCTCTCAGTACCGGTAACGATTTTATAAAAAAGAACGGCGAATGTTTTAGTGTAACCATGTTAGGTAATTTTTTACATTTTTGAAGTTCGTATTTTGAAACTTTGAAGCATTTAAATACGTCACATTGATCACATGTTACTTTTTGCTGTCATTCAAACCCCAGCTGTTATTGAAGGGGGGGAGCGGTTTACGGTCGACTATTTACTCATGAATCTCTTGCATTTGTTGCACGTTGTAGTACCGAGCTCTCGACTTAGTACTTTTGTTATTTGAATTATTAAACGTTCAGCGAATTTCGTACGGAGTGAATTTAACGATGGTACGGTAAGAATGAACAACCGGGCCCGTCAAAGGTTTAATGACCTGTTTTCGATTTTGAGCTGTCGTTAAAAAACTTTGCTCGCACAGTAACTGATGGAATTTGCTTTTTTGTAAGAGTACTTTAAATTTAGTGTTTATGTCATCGCTTGAATAAACAATTTTTGTTTTGTCTGTTACCTACTATTATATCGGTTTACTTTCGTAATTATAGATAGTGTTTTATGGTCCGAGCTCTTAAAATAAACTATGAGTCCATATACATATCAAAGTATACATTTTTTTACAAGATTTAAGTGTGTAAAAAGTCGTGTTTGGGATTTACCAAAACACTTATATCGTGTAGCTAAAGACTATTTCGTATTAGATCAAATAACAAAAAAATAATTCATTTAGCTTATTCTAAACGTAATACTACATAAGCCAAACTAGCTTGTTTGTGTGGAATCAGTATAGATTTTCTAGTTAATAGTTATAATAACTATTGCAATTAGCATAGTTAAAATACACGAAAGATAAATAGGACGAATGGAGAGTACAGAGGAGTTTTGTGTCACAAGCCTAGGAAATATAAAAATTCACACTTAAAATGATCTAATAGGTACCTTTATTTACTTACTTGAATCTAGATGTTGTACTCAGCTTCAATAGGAATTATGCTTTTGAAAAAAACTGTAGGGTTAAATTTAAATGGAATTTGTTTGCTTCGACATATTTTATGCATGTAAATCATTGTTAAAATATCGATTTTACCGTAAATAAATAGTTAAGTCAAAATCATCAGATTATTGCAGAACTATTTTGTCACATAATATTGTTACACTTACATTCACAAAAATATCATATTCGATTAACATCATATGGATATTTAGTAATCTATTTGAAATACGATCATAATATGATGTTGAAAACCTGCTTGAACCCAATACAGTTTCTGTAATGCAACCCGGAGTAGTGACACACTGTTTACGACAAAACGAGCTTATGTTGGTATCCCTGTTTTCTTTACTTCATTGCCGATCAGCTGATGCATTGTTGTATAGCTATCTTAGTGTTACTATTGGGAATTTATTGTAAATAAGACTCAACGTGGTGTTAACGCAAACTAAATATGTTTTTGACAAGTCTATAAATAGTTGATTAGGTACTGGAAACACACCTTGAAACGTAATTTCAAACCTTACTTGGCATAAAATTACTGTATTTACGTTTAACCTATTTTCTACAATACATACTCTTTGAGCTTGGGAAATCACTAAGAAAATTCCATATAACTGAAAAATTTTAAATCCCCATTTACCTAGGCTGCTAATTCTTATGGAGGATAAGTAAACTGTTGTAGTTTGCTTGTTTATGAATTTATCCAGATCAAATTTGGCTAATATTATAATTTCATCCTTAGCTAATAACATGCCACTAAACAAACATAATATTACTTTCACTGTATCTGCAAGCCTTAGGTACTAGTTTATCCTTACGTTAAAATATGAAATGAATATCTCTACTTAATGAATTATCTAAGTCAAAATCCAATCAGGCAAATTGAAAATCGTTTAGTCTCAAGGTTTGCTGCGGTGAGGGTATTGTTTTACGGTTTTGAAAGTGCATTATTGGATAGCTGAGTAATCAGTATGTCGCCGGTTCGATCCTGGGAAAAGTCAAAAAATTAAAATAGTTCAAAACTGGACCCAGCTGTTCTTATTTCATGATCCTGACTAATAAAGTCAGCTAATCTTAGTCAGTGAGAAAGCTTCAATTTCATTAAATTCTCTTCACCAACTCATATTCTAAAACAAACACCTCTGCGGTGTAAAAATATCTCTAAATTTACCTTCGTATAACAGCAAATACAAATTGTTTATTGATAAACAACAATTTGGATAGTATTGTAAATAGTCAAAACAGAATATTGTATTTGAACAGCAAATGGTTACGCAACTAATGTAGGCTGTTCAAATAACATACGCCTTTATACTCAATGCATTACGTAATAGATGCAACTCCAAAAAATCCTTTCATCTCCAAATGGGTTCCAAAATAAAGTGGTTGGTTTTTACAAGGGTATAATTAAACCTTCTTGCTTACCTTTCTTTGATCTTATGTTAAAATAGCGTTAGTCTAAATTTGTACATTTTTATTCGTTTCGATTTGTGAATTTTTTAGAAGATATATGTAGATTTTAGAATTTTCAATCGTGACTGTTTGATAAATAAATTTTAGATGGATAAAGGTAACTTATCAACTTATTGTAATGTTAACCCCATGTTATTCATTTTTCTGCAGCCAATATTATCAATTTACGTACTTTTCTGGTATTTTCGTAGCATACGGGATGTGATTGGTTATATTATTTTAACATCGAAGCACGTAAGTGCTATTTTGTTATTTGTTTTGAAAATGTTATTCAAACCGCTGATTAAAAAATAACTGAAAAAACATGTGCATCTATAAAGCTAATAAGGCTCACGAACTTTTGAGAAAACCGTAAGTAAGTCGTACACCTATCAAGAACCGCATACTTGAATGAAAGGTGATGTGTTAATTCCCTGAAAAATATCATTAAAATATCATGAATGTCAATTAAAAGGCTGTATCCTCATTTAAAATATTATATAAATACACAATATATTTATTATATTTTATATAATATATTTATGATTACGTAATAATGTAAAGGAATATAAATTCAAATTGTATGAATATGTTAGTTAGTCATTCAGTGCATATAAGTAATTAATGCATCCTAATAATTCAATTCAAATTAAATTAAAAAAACTCTTTTGATGATTGTGTAATGTTACGCAAAGATAAATAATTAAACGTAT